AAAAAGTACAATTATTGCTATTTATAGATGACATTATACAATACACAGGCAACCCTAAAGACTCCACCAAAAAATTTTAGATGTAATAAACGAATTCAGTAAAGTTGCAGGATACAAAACTAATACACAAAACTCAGTTTCATTTCTATATACTAATTAAAAAGTATCAGAAAGAGAAATGAAGAAAACAATCCCATTTATAACTGTACCAAAAAGAATCAAATACCTAGGAATAAACTTAGCCAAGGAGGTGAAAGACCTATACTCCAAAATCTATAAAACACTGATGAAAGAAATTGAAGACGGGGCACCTGGGTGGCTCAGTCGGTTGGGCATCTGACTTCTGCTCAGGTTATGATCTCACAGCTCATGAGTTAAGCTCCACATTGGGCTCTGTGCTGACAGCTCAGAGATTCTGTGTTTCTGTCTCTCTCTGCCCCTCCCCTGCTTGTGCTCTCTTTTCTCTCAAAAATAAACATTAAAAAATTAAAAAAAAAAAAAAGAAATTGAAAACATAAGCAAATGGAAAAATATACCATGCTCATGGATAGAATTAATATTGTTAAAATGTCCACAGTACCCAAAGCAATATAGATACAATGAAATTTCTATCAAAATACCAATAGCATTTTTCACAGAAGTAGAACAAATAATCCTAAATTTTGTATAGAATCAAAAAAGACCCCAAATAAACAAAGCAATCTTGAGAAAGAACAAAGTTGGACCTTTCACAATCCCAAATATCAAGGTATACTACTAAACTATAATAATAAAAACAGTATGGTACTAGTACAAAAATAGACACATAAATCCAAAGGAAAGGATAAGGGGCCTAGATATACACCCACACTTATAAGGTCAATTAATCTACAACAAAAGAGGAAAGAATATACAGTGAGGTAAAAGCAGTATTTTCAATAAATGGTGCTGGGAAAACTGGATGGTTACATGCAAAAAAATGAAATTGGACCACCTTCTAACACACATACACAAAAATAAACTCAAAATGGATTAAAGACCTAAACGTGAGACCTGAAATGATAAAACTCCTAGAAGAAAACATAGGCAGTAATTTCTCTCATACTGGCCATGGCAACATTTTTTTAGATATGTCTCCTAAGGCAAGGGAAACAAAAGCAAAAATAATCTAATGAGACTGCACCCAAATAAAAAGCTTTTATGTAGCAAAGGCATTGATCAACAAAGTGAAAAGGCAACCTACTGAATGGGAGAAGATATTTCCAAATGATATATCTGATAAAGGATTAATATCCAAACATATAAATAACTTACACAACTCAACATCAAAAAACAATAATGATAATCCAATTTAAAAACAGAAGAGGACCCAAATAGACATTTCTCCAAAGAAGACATACAGATGGCCAACAGATGCATGAAAAGATGCTCAACATCTCTCATCATCAGGGAAATGCAAATCAAAAACCACAAGGAGATATCACCTCACACCTGCCAGATGGCTAGAATCAAAAAGAGAAGAAACAACAAGTGTTGGCAAACATGTGAGAAAAAAAGGAATCCTCTCGCACAGTGGGTGCAAACTAGTGCAACCACCATGGAGAACAGTATGGAGGTTCCTCGAAAAATTAAAAAATAGAAATACCATATGATCTAGTATTTACCCCCCCCAAAGAAAAAACCCAGAAACACTAACTTGAGAAGATTTATGCATCCCTAGGTTTATTGTAGCATGATTTACAATAGCCAAATTATGGAAGCAATCCAAACGTCATTGATAGATGAATGTATAAAGAAGATATGGTCTGTGTGTATACACACACACACACACACACACACACACACACACACACACAAACGGTATATTACTCAGGTATAAAAAAGAATGACATCTTGCCATTTGCAACAACATGGTTCAACCTAAAGAGTATGATGTTAAACGAAATAAGTCAGACAAAAACAAATACCATATGATTTCAATTATATGTGGAATCTAAAAATCAAAATGAACTAAACAAACAAAAGTAGAAACGGACCCATAAATACAGAGAACAAACAGGTGGCTGCTAAAGGGGAGAAGGTGGGAGACAGGCAAAATGGGTGAAGGAGAGTGGGAGATACAGGCTTCCCGTTATAAAAGGAGTAGGTAGGGGCGCCTGGGTGGCGCAGTCGGTTAAGCGTCCGACTTTAGCCAGGTCACGATCTTGCGGTCCGTGAGTTCGAGCCCCGCGTCGGGCTCTGGGCTGATGGCTCAGAGCCTGGAGCCTGTTTCCGATTCTGTGTCTCCCTCTCTCTCTGCCCCTCCCCCGTTCATGCTCTGTCTCTCTCTGTCCCAAAAATAAATAAACGTTGAAAAAAAATTAAAAAAAAAAAAAAAAAAAAAAAAAAGGAGTAGGTCACGGGGTTGAAAGGTGTAGTTCAGGGAATAGAAGCAACGGTAGCTAGTAGTGTTGTGTGGTGACCGGCAGTAGCTAGGCGAGCACAGCATAAGGTGTAGACGTGTCAAATCACCATGCGGTACACCTGGAACTAATGCTTCAGGGAAATAAACATTGTGTGTCAACTTTTCTTCAATAAAAAAAAGACCAAAATATAATTTTTTTTCAAAATATAAATTTTTTAAAAATTATATAAAAAATAAAGATTTTCTCTTTTAACGTTTATTTTTGAGACAGAGAGAGACAGAGCATGAACGGGGGGAGGGGCAGAGAGAGAGGGAGACACAGAATCCGAAGCAGGCTCCAGGCTCTGAGCTGTCAGCGCAGAGCCCGACGCGGGGCTCAAACTCACGAACCGTGAGATCATGACCTGAGTTGAAATCAGATGCTTAACCGACGGAGCCACCCAGGCGCCCTAAAAATAAAGATTTTCAAAACAAAAGTTGGAACAAGCATGAACGAGTAGCGTAAGTAAACGTACTAAACTATTTTTGTTCCTGAGCCTGTCAGTTGAAGGAATGCATATATCATTCTGTATTTTGTTTCCCCTTGTGACCACTTGTTTTATTAACACCCATGACAGTGACACCACCTGACATTCACCACTTGTGTGGCACTTATCCCTCGCACACAATAACGCTAGGAGGGAAGTCACACAGGTGCGGTTTAAAGCGAGAGGCTTTGTGAGAACCAAAGGGACAAGGCTCCCACCCAGCATGCATGTCTCAACCCCATGTTCTCCAACAGCCCCCGTTCGCGAGGTAAGGTGATCAGCAGGTAGGAGCCAGGCAAGGTCAGATGTCTGAAATATTAACTCCCATAGGGGGCAAATAAGGAAGTGAAACCTGGGATCAGACAGGGTGAAGTATTATTATGGTACTAGGTAACCAACATTTACTGGGCACTTTTACGTTTTTTTTTTTTTTTTTAATGCAGGCCTAATACTAAGTAAGAGATGAGTGGGGGGCGCCTGGGTGGCTCAGTCGGTTGAGCGTCCGACTTCGACTCAAGTCATGATCTCGCAGTTTGTGAGTTCGAGCCCCGTGTCGGGCTCTGTGCTGACAGCTCAGAGCCTGGAGTCTGCTTCGGATTCTGTGTCTCCGTCTCTCTCTGCCCCTGCCCTGCTCATGCTCTGTCTCTCCCTGTCTCAAAAATAAATAAAAAACATTAAAAAAAAAAAAAAGAGAGAGAGAGATGAGTAGGTACCAAGTAAAGATGGGTTATCTTTCTCTAACAAGATATCCATGGAAGAGTAAAATGTCGGTAACCAGTATCGTAAAGTGTGGTGGTCTAACGTAGGGGCGTACAGAGATTGCCATGGAACACTTCCGAAGGAACAGGGCATAAATACTAGTGCATGCGTCAATAAATATCAGTTGAATAAACGTCAAAAGGTGCTTTTCCCCAAAAGGAAAAGGTTAATGGCCCTGCCACAATTAGGAAGGAGACAAAGACGAAGGGAAACAAACATAAATGCAGCCACAGGGTCACCAGCTCCCTACGAAGGCACAGTCACAGGAGGCAACGCGTTGGGGCAGGTACAAAATGTTGTAACAGGTGCAGGGACAGTGGCTACAGCCAGAGCTCAGGGAGCTAGCTGTGTGGTGTCTCATCCACTACTCACATGCATGCAAGACGACCTCGACAACTTCTCTCCCTACCAGTCTATTGCTCTCTCTACCTGTCGTGTGGTTCCTTTCTGTTTGGGGAGTCCATTTCTTTTTTTTTTTTTCTGACACAAACCAGAAAGCATCAGTAAAGAAATCAAAGTTTCTACCACTTATACCAGACTTCCATGGAACCTGTGTAGTTTGAAACTTCTTTAACCATTACCAATATAAGGAAAACATCACTGTTTCTATTCCTTGGGTCGAATTCGCCCCTCGTGTTTGGCCTCAGTACTGGGATGCCTCCGTGCACCCTATGGGCTGTCGCTGCTTCTTTTCAATTCATTGCTTGTTTATCAGGACAGTTTTCCTATCGTGTGGAAATCAGGTTTCACTATACAGGAGGCATAAGATAATGACTGACTCGTTTTAAATTTAAGCCAAAAGAGCAGATGCTGAAGAATCGAGACATTTTAAACCCTCCTTACATCATTCATCCCAGCAAACAGCGTGATGAGAAAGCTGTACACAGAGCAGAAGCTGGGTTCTACAGCTGAAGCACAAAAGAACGAGAACCTTTCACTCCGATGGCTTCCAATCAAACCCTGATTAGCTCACAAATGAATTATGTTTTGGATTCTTCCCCTCCTGCCTCGTGAATGTTGATTCACATCATAAAACATCAATTGTTGGCACACCCCACACCCTCAGCCTGAGAGAAGCTGTTGGCATTTTCACAAGCAAGAAATGCATTGGCAAAGTGGTGGCGAAGTTTCTTCGACAACATTAGCTCTCTTTCGTGAATGTAACCAACGCTCTCAGTTTTACTGCCAGAGTTTTCCAGCATCCATCTGTATAATTAATGGTTTAAATAAAGCACAAGCTGGACAGACTAGTTTACGTGACATTAACCCAGAGGAGAACATTATGATGTAGTAGCATTGGAAAGTTTAAAATAATATTTTCACACACCAACCTTTTGGCCTCTCCCTCTTTTCTTTGATTTCTCATGAGGTCTGGCGAGATCCTGACAGCCCTCCAATGAGCCATCTAACACATCAGGCCTTGCTGGTCCGTTTTTAACACCTGGAACCCAAGAGGATTTGAAGATTAGTTAGAACTTCACATGGACTGAATACTAATGCAACTTAACCAAAATAAAAATTTAAAAATTAATTTATGCACACTGGTAACACCAAAGTACTATTCTCTTAAATAAACACTGCATACATCTTGCTCTTTGAAGGTCTATTTAGAATTCTCAGTTTATTCCACTACAATCTCCCCAGTGCAATTCACTTAACTCAAAGGTCAGGAATAATTTTGCCTGTCAGGTGACAATGTACCAGTCCTACGGTATCCCATCCATCCAGCAGGTGATGCGAGAACATGTATGCCAACACCTTACGCACTATTCAAACTCCCAACTTGTAAACTTTTACAAACCCAAAGAAAGTAGTTCTCTATTAGAGGAAATAAGTATTCTTAGCTCTGGGGTCAGATTTACCCTAGAAAACAGTCTATAGTACAGTACAAAGCTTTAGGTTTCCATCTGCAAGTGACAGATGATTCTATACCCCACAAATGTCCACCTTAGACCAGCGTCTAGCCATGAAGACACATAAACCAAAAAGATATTTATCGAGTGAAACTGATTTCATTAGATGCTAAACAGTGTAGAAATCCTACACAATGCACAATGAAGTGTGAAATGAGTACTTGCAATTGCTACAACTTTACAAGGTGCTTCTCTCCTCTCTTTCCTCCCAAAATAGTTCGCCTACTATGTGACTTAGTTGATATTTGGAAGGAAGACTAAAGAATACTAGCTACCATTTCTATGGTCTCAATAGGATAACACGTATAAAAGGCGAAAAGCGGCTTAGGGAACACTTATGTCCCAGCCACAGCCAAGTGATGGTAAGCCATCCCACACAACCCACCGTCACCATCATCCAACTCATCAGTCACTGATGCTCTTATCAACAATGCCTAATCATCAGGGTTTGCCCACTGGAGAGGCACAATGATCCTTCTCTCAGGAAGCTTACAACCCAACAGACCAATGTCGATACTGAAAGTGAATATAAGGCAAAAATAATCGACATGCCATAAGAAGCAAAAATCATATAACGTGAGAATGACTGCTTTGCAAATAGTTTAAATAAAATAAAAGGCTCTAATAAAACAGATGCGGTTGACTTTGGAGGGTCTGATTCGAAAGTTTTAATCGTCTTTCAAAAATGGGACTCTAGCTGAGTGAAAACACATGCACAGCAATGGTTACATACTGTCTTGAATTCAAACTAATTACTGTTATTTGCAACTTGAACCCTAAAAATGTTTTAAGGTCAGGTTCTGATCCACTTTGTACTAAACCCTAATACTAAATCCCTTTTGGAGACTGAAACCAATCACATGCGGACCCCACTAATCTCCTGGAAGATCTTCGGTATTTGAAGTGTATTCCACCTCTTTCCCGGCAGGCTACAGACAGACCTTACTTGAGATGAATTAGTGGGCCATGTATTGTGCAGTTTACAGTCTGCTCTAAGATCCAGCCATGCTAAGTTTCTTTCACTCATTTTGAAGGTAAGGGTATCAATCTATTTACGCATTACTTTCCGAGACACTCAACCACCACTTTTTGAGAACTTCTAATGCCTAGGGCAGGACATGGATACAATGTTTTTTAAGATCTAAGATTATGAGTAACTAGAATAGAATATTATTTGTTATCCACCATTCAAATCGAAAGTTTACTCAGAGCAAGAGTATATGAAAATAAGAAAGGCAGAGGACTACAGATATAATTTGGAAGCCAATGCACCCCTGTTGTTGCACCACGAGTAAGTATGCTGCTTGCTAGAGTATCTATGTCAAAAAAGATTGTGTTACAGCCACATGCCTCAGGGCTAGGCAAGAAACAGACTGTGAAGCATTTTGTAAACAAAGATCTAAAAAAAAGGATCACAGACTTTTAAAACTTAAGGCTGATACTGCTAATGACACATTTTCATTTTCATACATCACGTAACAACAAAACGATACGAGTTCAGATCTTCCTCCCCTTAAGATGGGGTTACGTCCTGATAAACGCATTGCAAGTTGAAAAAACTGGAAGTTGAAATGCACTTACCACGCAGTCTACAGAACATCATAGCTTAGGCTACGCTTAGCCTAACCAGGCTCAGAACACTCAGCAAGAGGCTACGTACAGCTGGACAATAGTATCTAACACACAGCAAGTGATGTGTTGACTCCTTCGTGTAATTTAACGAATACTGTACTGGAAATGACAGAGAGAATGGCGGTATGAGGGGGTGGCTGTCAGTATGATGGCCATTGACCATCATGATTATGTGGCTGCCTGGGGGCTATGGCTCACTGTGCAGCGCCCAGTGTCACAACAGAGTGTGCAAAGAGTTTCCTACTGCATATCCTAGCGGTACACTGCATATCGACAGCCCCAGGAACAATGCAAATTCAAAACTCTAAGTACGGTTTCTACTGAATGTGTGTTGCTTTCACACAGTAGCAAAGTCAGAAGATCATTAAGTCAAATCATCCTGAGTTGGGAACAGGCCTGAGTTCTTGTGTGATTCCGTAAAAGAACATTTTCACAAGCTCAGCTATGGCAAGTTGCTACTATGTTGTCTTTAAGGATGTTTCTGAAAAACCACAAGCAGCTGAAAGTGCAAAGTAATTGTAAAAGCCGGTAGAAGAGAGAGGCGGGTTGTTATTCCTTTCCACAGCCCAGCAGCATGTTTCCTTCCCAGCTTCCTGCTCTCCTGCCCGCCCACCCACCTCGACCCCCTCCCCCATGGCTGCCGCCATTTGCTCCAAAGCTGGTTTCTCAAGGTCATCGGCTCTCCTCTCTCTCCCAAGGGTGGTCTGAGCACGCCCCACAGTCATCCACTACTCAACGGTCCCAACTCCATGCCTCTTGCCAGGAGGCTTGATATACCCAACTGCCTAACAGACCTCTATCTTCAACGTCTCTGAGAAATTTCAATCAATACAACCCTGGGCCCTGTGTGACAAACGTTTTATCAGCCATCTACGTATCAAGGTTGTAAATCCTAGACTCCTGTCTCTCTCCTCACTGTCATCTCAACTTCATGACACAAGTGATTCACCTAGTTTTCAAAAAGTGATCAAATACAGAGAGAAGAGACCAGAACTTTTACTGTTAAGTTACACTGCCCGGGATTTCAACAATTAGAAATTTGTTTGGGTCAGGGCGCCTGGGTGGCTCAGTGGGTTAAGCACCCGACTCTTGGTTTTGGCTCAGATCACGATCTCACGGTTGGTGAGTTTGAGTCCTACATCGGGTTCTGTGCTGACAGCATGGAGCCTGCTTGGGATTCTCTTGTCTGACTCTTTCCCGCGCATGTTCTCTCTTTCTCTCTCAAAAAAAAAAAAAAAAATAGAATAAACAAACATTAAAAAAAGGGAATTTGTTTGGGTTAACAGTATCATCAAAATACAAACATACCAAGGAAGGTTGGAAGGTGAACTTATTCACTTCTCAGTGTGAATGAGTTAAGTCACTACCTCTGCTGCACCTATCTGGGTTAAGAGGTGGTTTTGATACTAAGTGAAAATAAACCACTGTGGAGGCAGAACCAGGCTAAGGCAGCGTAAGGACAAATGTATATAACCTAAGTGCTAGGAAAAGGAAAGAGACGAGAAAATGGATGTTGAGACAACCATTAAACCCCTTAGAAGAAACCTGGTCCGTGTGGTTGTTGTGTGCAGGGCGGAGGCATAATAAGAGATACACCCTTACTTCCAACACCTAACCTCCTGCGAACTTTACTTTCCTACTTCCAAGACACAAGACTAATTAACACTAGTACGAGTAGTACATCTAAGCACTCAGTATTGATTGATACAAATCACTCTGCAAAATCAACTAGATCAAAGATGAAAAGGCTTCTGAAGCCTTTTCTGATTCTGATTCAAGAATCCATATATTGGACAGGTACAACCATACCCCTAAATCTGACCAATATCCCCCCAGGGAATTTCTTCTGAGTCTCTAAAATCTTAATATTATGAGTCATTTAAGAACAACCTGGAATGCAAGGTCTTAAGACTGCGGAAAGAGCCTTCAAAGACACCTAGGAAAAATCCTTTCCATATAGACTTCTGGGGTTTGGGACACATGCAAAATATTGATGTGTTCGACACACAAAAAAAAACTCAGCTAACAAAAGAATATATATATTTTTTTCGTCCAATAAAACATCAAGTTCACTTTACAAATACAAAAACAAATCTAATCATGATCATCAAAAGATGTGGAATCTTTTCCTTTATAATCACTATGAAGATCATTAAAATTTATTAAAAATTTTTTTAATGTTTATTTATTTTTGAGAGAGACAGAGACAGAATGAGAGTGGGGGAGGGGCAGAGAGAGAGGGAGACACAGAATCCGAAGCAGGCTCCAGGCTCCCAGCTGTCAGCACAGAGCCTGACGCGGGGGTCGAACTCACAACCTGTGAGATCATGACCTGAGCCGAAGTCGGATGCTCAACCGACTGAGCCACCCAGGCACCCCCATTAAAATTTATTTTAGTATGTAAACTAATGTTAATACCATATAACCTTTCCCACAGGGAGTAATTTCTCCATCTTTTTAATTCCCTGATACTTGCATATAGATTATCTTGACTGTATCTTCCCTACTTGTCTTAGTTCCTTAAGGGAAAGGGATAGAACTTTACAGCAACCTTACTTCCCCTTGTATTTATCCCAGTATCTGGGACACAGTAGGTGAAGAGTAGTCATAATAAGGAATAAATGAATAGATGAACAAATCAAACAATCAACAGGTTGTAACCCCTTCCTTACGGCCAGCCTTTCTGTTAAGGCTGACTAACCCACACTGAGTGGTTGGGTTGCTTACCTCCAGTGAGTGTACTGGCAGGTCTGGGAGAGAGGGTTGAAACAGTCTTCTCAAAACATGTGTATTACTTGAATTGTCAAAAGGTGCAGTCATTACTCTTCAATTTAAAATATTTAAGGGGCACCTGGGTGGCTCAGTTGGTTAAGTGCCCAACTTTTGGTTTCGCTCA